GTTCATTTCGATATTGACAATGTTTGTGTAGTTTTTTTCCATTAGGATGCATAATTCCTGAAATATACACAGTCGAATTGACATAATTCCTAAAATATGCAGTGAACCCTAGATTATCAGCACGTGTAAAATAAAAACTAGTAAAGCATGCGTTAATTACACTGTATAATAGGGACTTATAGTTAGATATCGGAAACTAAAATTCGAATTTTACGAAAAGTTCTAAAATAGAACCATTTGGTATTTTGTAAACGGACAGAGATGAAAACTTGAAATTTGGTAGAGAATCATCTTTGGAATATAAGTTTGATATAGCAAAGTGGTTTTGGTAATGTGTACCAAGCGTGCTTACTGTACTGTACTAAATGGTACTTAATTTGGAACGCTCTGGAATTTTACAATTTTATATTGGGCAACCTGTTAGTTGTAGGTTTGTAAAGAAGAGATGGGAAGAGAATGTGTAACAAAAGTGCACGAAAAGCACTAAAAAGTACTATATTTGGTACAAGTTAAAAATTAGTATTAGTGACGCTATCCATGTGTAACCTGGACATATAAATGTGATTTTAAAAATGTGTACAATAATTGTACGAAAAGTACTGACTAGTACTATACTTGGTATTGGATGAAAGGATAGAGATAATATTCTGAAATTTGATATTTAGATTACTGATGGTATTTGTGTTTGAGATTTGGTGGTGGTTTGGAAATGCGTCCTATATTTGTGCAAAGAGTACTAAACGGTACTAAATCTGGTATTGGGTGAAAGGATAGAGCTGGAATCCTGAAATTTGATATGAATATCAGTCAGTTGTTGTGAGAAGCAACTGGTTTTGGATAAGAGTGTCATAATTGTTCTAAATGGTACTAAATTTGATAATGAGGAAAATTACAGAGCTGAAACATTGAAATTTGATATTAAGGTCACTGTTGGTATCCGAGGTTGAGATATGGAGATCGCTTTGAGAATGCTTACATCAACGGTAGGAAAGAAATTAAATTTTACTAAATTTCGTATTGAGTGAAGCGATAGAGATGGAATCATGAAAATTGGTATGGATAGCAGTGTTGATGTCTGTGGTTGTGAGAAGGATCCATGGTCACTATTGGTGGCTAGGGTGGAGAGAAGAAGTGATTTTGCACATGCGTAGTATAACTGTATGAAAACAATGATAATAAATTCGGGATTGGGTCTAAGGATAGAGCTTGAATTCGTTATGGAGACCACTTTTTGTATATGATTTGAGTTATAGTATGATAAAGGGATAGAGCTGAAATCCTGAAATTGGATATGGAGGTCATTGTTGATTTCTGGGGTTTAGATATGGTGGTGTTTTCAGTTTTCACTAGAAAAATTGGATGTGGAGTTATGTTGAAAAGTTTTAACTAATATGATTTTCGGTAAACTTCAAAACGACCAAATATCGGGAGGTACTGTTATATGGGGACTATACAATATGGTACCCACATCGGAGATTTTCCAAAAAAGAAAAAAAAAGAAAATCCGTTAAAAATTAGTTAAAATCTTAAAAATACTAAATTTAGACGTTATATCGGGGCTATACGAAAACCTGGACCTTCATAAACAATTTTCTGTCACAGGCTGTAGTACCTATTAGGAACTTTCAAACAATTTCGGTTAATATTGTTCCTGAACTTGTCAAAATACCGAATATTGGGAGGTACTGACTGATACAATTTTCTGGCATAGACTGTAGTTCCCATTACGAATTCTATATACGAAATTTGAAACAACTCAAAATATCGAATATCGGGGCCCTTCCGGTGTATGTGGCTTAAACGATATCGTGGACCTAAATAGAAAATTTTCTTCCAGGGGGAAAAGTGCTTAGAAAGAAAAAATTAGCTAAAATCATCAAAATACCGAATGTCGGGATGTACCGTTATATGAGGGATACACGATATCGTGTACCTATATAGACAATACTCTTCCAGTACAAGACAAAATGTTGGCTACAATCATCAAAATATAGAATATCGGGAGGTATCGTTATATGGGGATACACGATATCGTGGACCTATATACATAATACTTTTCCAGGGGGTAGAGTATTCACAAAGAACTCCTTGTGTAGAATTTCCATTGAAATGTGGCTGCAACCATCAAAATACCGAATATTGGGGGTACCGCTATATAGGGGCTATACGACATCGTACACCGATATAGCCCACCTACAAACTTGACCTATCTGCTAACAAAAGTCTTATCTATGCAGAATTTTAGCTTCCTATCTTTATTTGTTTTGGTTCTGACGTGATTACAAAAGGCCGATTATTTTATTTGGTATTGAATTTGCAATCTTCTGATTTGTTGTTAAATACACTACCGATATCCACAGAATGCTAACTACACTCCAATGCACATTAAAATGCAAACAGAGAAAATTCTATTTTAGCAACAAATCAACAATAATGCTGAACAAATAAAATAGACCGTAGTTGGCCATTCTTGTTTATTCGTTTCAACAAATCATGTTGAAAAACCATTGTTAACTTGGATATTTGTATGTATCAATCAAACATCATTGATATGACAAGTCCTAGCGAATAAATATGATTTCGAAAATGTTATAATCCATGCGAAATGGTAATAATTGTCAGGCGCCCTATTTTTTGGCGGAAATTTTCAATAATAGCAAAAGTAAAATTTACATACAGGCACACATCCGGTTGTGGTAGTAATACATTTATGACCAGCCATTATTCCATCAACTTTTAATTTGGAAATTAAAAGCAAATATTCTAAAAACCTCCAAGGCTAAGTTTTGAATTTTCAGTGTGGGGGAAAAAACTGCAATTATGTTAGAATATTGCGGAAAAATAATCAATGGCGTTGGTAAAAAGTTGGCATTGCAATTGGTTGTTTAATTCAAATTGAACTTTTTTTTTGCAATGAACATCCAGTGGTGTACGTTAGTTAGTTTTTGGTTGAGCTTCCAAATATGGAAATAAAGTTATTGTAATAATTGGAATTGTTATTGTTTGTTATTCGATTTTTTCTTTGCGGTGGAAAACAATATGTTTTATGTACAAGCGATAAAATAATATTCAATTTACTTTTTTTTGTTAGCTTGCAGTTAAAATGTGCCCCCTTGAGTTTAGCATACCTAAATCCAGTGGAAAGGACAGATTTCAGTCTATTGAATAATAAGGAAAATTAACAAAGATACTCTGCACAAAAAGTTGTGAATTCCATTGTAAAGGGGTGGACAAAAACTGCAGGAAAAAAGAAATGATTTTCTTATAACATTGGAGATTTTAAAGTCGTTGGACAGCGTTTCCGAGAAGAGAAACATATTTTGTTAACTTACGATTTTTAAAGTTTCTAATATTTTTCCAGTAGTAATAATCGATTTTTAAGAGCTATAGGTAGATTTCATTTTTGAAATAATGCCATACCGGTGACCGGTGGCATTTGCTCTACATTTACGTCAACTCTTGGATCGGATGATGATTGCGACTTATATACAGAGTGAGATGAAAAGACTTCAACCAACTTCAGACTGCTGTCATTTCTAAGCCACTCGTCCGACAGCTGTTAACATTATTCCAGTGACAGCTCATTATATTGTTTACAAGCGTACATAAGCATTTTGGTGAGAATTTTCCAGAAAAAAAGTTATTCGTGATGGAATTCAAGCGTGATTTCTTTATATTTGGCTGGAAAACCACATGTGGCTATCGTTAGAGCACTCCAGCATTTAAATGCTTTTGTGTCTTGTACCATCGCTCGTTACCGTGATACTGGTAGCGTAGGCCGACGTCAAGGTAGTGGACGGAAAAAAACAGCAACATCAGCAGAAATGGTTCGAAAAATGGCCACCAAAATCTCCGAAAACCAATCCGTTGGACTATTGTGTCTGGAGTATTTTTGAAAGCAATGTTGACACTAAAAATTACCAAAGTGTCGCTTCGCCGGGAATGTTCCAAAATACCGCAGAGCAACATTCGGGCAACGTGTGACGGTTTTTTTAGCCATTTGAAGGTCATTATTTGTGCCAAATATGACCAATTCGAACAAATCTAAACTTATTCTAAAATTTGATGGGATTTCATTCAATAAAATTAAAAAAAGTAAAAAAGCAGTAAGTTCGGCCGGGCCGAACTTTGAATACCCTCCACCATTTGGAACGAATTAGAAAATTTTCAAAAAAAAAATAAAACAAAATCCCATAAAAAATCTGTTAAAATCTTTAAAATATCTAATATAGGAAGGTGCCGATATATGGGGGGATATACGATATTGTGGACCTGTAAAGACAAATCTATGTCTGCGTGTAAAGTACTCACAAGGAACTCCTTTTGTGGAATTTCAGACAATTCCATTGAAAAATGTGGATAAAATCATCAAAATACCAAATATCGGGGGTACCGTTATATGGGGGCTATACGATATCGTAGACCTATATAGATAATTCTCTACCGAAGTATAAAGTACCCACAAGGAACTCCTTGTGAGGATTTTCAGACAATTCCATTGAAAAATGTGGGTAAAATCATCAAAATACCGAATATCGGGGGGTACCGTTATATGGGGGCTATACGATATCGTAGACCGATATAGCCCATCTTCGAACTTGACATGCCTGCAGACAAAAGAGAGATCTGTGCAAAATTTTAGCTTCCTATCTTAATTCGTTTATACTGTAGTATGATTACAACAGACGGACAGACGTACGGACAGGGCTAAATCGTCTCAGAATTTTACGCTGATCAAGAATATATATACTTTGTTGGGTCTAAAATGATTATTTCGATGAGTTACAAACGAAATGACGAACTTAATATACCCTCCATACTTTTTTTGGTGGAGGGTATGAAAACATGTAAAAATTATGGCGATCGACTTTATTTCACCCTGTTTTGTGGAGGGCATAACAAGTAATGAATTCTCTCCAGTCTTGCTTTGTTTGTTTTAAGTTATCATTATATACTTACAAAACCTCTTACATTTTTTTTCCATTTATTTGCACTTTTAGGAATCACTTTTCAACACCAACAATTATAATGGAGCGATCGAACAGAACTCAACGAAATGTGTAATCTAAATGAAAAGTGAAACAACACGATAGCGAAAAGAAGTGTTAGAAATATTTCGGTTTTCTCTTTTCATTTTGTTTTTTTAAAGTTTTCAGTGTTTAAAATGCATAAAACTGATTCAGATCCGCTCAAGTATGTAAAGCATCAAAATGTGGCTTAAGTTTAAAAATGTTGCCACACCTGTAATTGAAACGTTTCATTTGTTGCTATTAACTCTAATACTGGGCCATACATTCCATGTTAAGCAAATTGACGATATTGTCGTTATGGCTGCAACAATAACCAACTTTCCAACAACAATAACAGCAACAGCAACAACATCATCATCAACAACGACAACGAAAACAATACCAACACATCCGGCTAGAATAGCAGCAGCAACAACAACAACAACAATACCAAACAGTGAAACTGCATTTACATCCTTGCTATCGCCATCATCATTATCAGCACTGTCGTCATCGCCGTCATCCTCATCAGTGGCATCAAGTTTTCCAAGGACAAGAGGAGCAAGTGCATCAGCATCAGCATCACTGTTATCGTTATCAACTTTGCCATTGCCACAACAATTCACGGCGTTGTGGGAAACAAGTGCAGCAAATAGTACAACAGAATTACTCAATTCATCTGCAAACACAGCTGATGCAATAACGACGGGTAAGTAAACCGAATACGAATGAATGTAGGTAGGTAGATGTTAAGAAGAGAGTAGGACGAATGAAAGTTTGCATGGGAATATGGAAGGAAGAGAACGGAAGGAAGAGTTTGCTTAGCATTGCTACATTCAACCCTTTTGGGGGCCATTGTCTGAAAATACACAAACCCCCCACCCCCCTCTCCCGCACTGAGGCACTTTTGCCAAGAAACCGTTTCTAAGCCAAGCTAATGCGTCTGACTGCAACAACAAGCCGAGAGCGGAAAATAACTTTGAATGAATGAAAAATAATTATGGTAACTAAATTCAATGTTGGATGGAAAGTTAGAGAACAAACTTCGCAAACTGTTATTCTAACATTTTTATTGGCAAAAATAATAATAATTTTATAAGTAAAGTAATAAATAGTTGAAACTGATGGGCGGAAGAAACTTCTGCAATACTAACTTCGTGTTTAGCACAGCAGGACGCTTTTGTCGCTGTCACAGAAAATAGCTTGTTTAAATGGTTCTAGGCAGTTCTCAGAAAGTTGATTAGACAGACAATGCGTAAACAGATGCAGGTCATAATTTTATCTTGATGATGAAATTAAATTATATTGTTTGTATTTTTATACCCTTTTAATATACATTTAAATACAACTCCTCGAAATACCCAATGTGTTTATACCCTACACCACAAGGTGGTCAGGGTATTATGTCTTTGTGCATTTGTTTGTAACAGGCAAAAGGAAACGAGATAGACCCATAGTTCCTTTTGATGATCTGCATAGAATCACATTCTGAGTCGATTTATGCATGTCCGTCCGTCCGTCTGTCCGTCTGTCCATGTATTTTTGTAAACAAAGTACAGTTCGCATTTATTATCCTATCCACATGAAATTTTGCACAAATCATTTGTTTGGCCCAAGGACGAACCCTATTGAAATTGGAGATAATCGGTCAAAATTTAGATATAGCTCCCATATATATCTTCGTCCGATTTGCCTTTTATTGTGCACCAAACGTGTAATATCAGCCCGAATTGTATTGAATTTTGCATATACAACCAAATTAGACCTGAAAATAAGTATGCCTAATTTGATCGAAATCGGTTCAGATGTAGCTATAGCTCCCATATATTGTTCATCCGATTTGTTATTTTTGTCCTCCTATGCACTCTGTAACAACAATATTTGAGAAAATATATCAAATACAGCTCAGAAATACATTTGCTAAATTTTATCGAAATCGGTTCAGATTCGGTTCAGATATAGCTCCCATATATAACTTTGTCCGATTTACCTTTGATTGTGCATCAAACGTCTAATATTTGCCCAAATTAGATGAAATTTGGCACTTTCGACCGAATTGAAGCTGGGAATACATAAAGCGCTTATTTGGCTGGCTTAAGTCATTGGCTGGCTTCTTCGGAAATGAACAAAGGAGTCTAGGGCCAAAATCGAACTAGGTTAACCTAAAACTCCTTTGTTCATTTACGAAGAAGCCAGCCGATGACTTAAGCCAGCCAAATATGCGCTTTATGTATTTCCAGCCTGAGTCTAGAAGCTAGTATGTCAAATTTGGTGAAGATCAGTTCAGATATAGCTATAGCTCCCATATATATTGTTCATCCGATGTGTGATATTTGTTACCCACAGCCGTAATATGCACTCCGTAAGAACGATATTCAGTGAAATATATCAAATACAGCTCAGAAATATCTTTGCCAAATTTTATCGAGATCGGTTCAGATTTGGATAAAGTTCCCATATATATTTTTATCCGATTTCAAATTAATTTCGCACCAAATGGGCAATACAAGTCCGAATTTAAAAGATACAAATGCTTCGGCATATTTAGTCCTTTGAATTTTATATTATAATTATAATCATAGCGTGTATGATTGAATTCTCCCATAAAAACTTTTAATTATTGAGTGGAGCTCAACTAAAGTAGCAAAGTGGTGTAGGGTATCATAAAATCGGCCCCGCCTGACTTTAGGACTTTCTTTACTGGTTTTTCTATAGTCTCTGTACCGTACCTCCCGATATTCAGTATTTTGAGGATTTTGGAAACATGTTCCCACGGAATTTTTCAAATTTGGTATTTGAAACTCACAGCAACTTCTGAATCTGAAAGTTCTCTATTAAGGCACTGCCGACATTACAGTACTTTGAAGACTTCAAATGCATTTTCCAATCGATTTGACTGGTTTCTGTAAAATTAAGGCACATTTATCTATGATTATTTTAAAGTATAATTTTAGGTTTTTAGCTGGGTTTCATCATATTTTCTAACGAAAATTACAGCAATTTGCTATCTCAAATTTTAATCATGTATTTCACCTACTTTAAAAAATTATTTTATCATACAACGGTACTGCCCGACTTCATGTTTTAATTAATTTTTGAATCAACTATTTTTCTCTTATTCGTACCTCATTGAATCAGAAATTTGCTGTCTTTGGTCTTGCGACTTTTTATACCCTACACCACATAGTGGTCAGGGTATTATGTCTTTGTGCATTTGTTTGTAACAGGCAAAAGGAAACGAGATAGACCCATAGTTCCTTTTGATGATCTGCATAGAATCACATTCTGAGTCGATTTATGCATGTCCGTCCGTCCGTCTGTCCGTCTGTCCATGTATTTTTGTAAACAAAGTACAGTTCGCATTTATTATCCTATCCACATGAAATTTTGCACAAATCATTTGTTTGGCCCAAGGACGAACCCTATTGAAATTGGAGATAATCGGTCAAAATTTAGATATAGCTCCCATATATACTGTTCATCCGATTTGTTATTTTTGTCCTCCGCAGCCGTAATATGCACTCTGTAACCACAATATTTTGGGAAGTATATCAAATACAACTCAGAAATACATTTGCTAAATTTTATCGAGATCGGTTCAGATTTGGATATAGCTCCCATATATAACTTCGTCCGATTTACCATTTATTGTGTACCAAACGTCTAATATTTGTCCAAATGGGATGGAATTTGGCACTTACGACCGAATTGAGTCTAGAAGCTAGTATGCCAAATTTGGTGAAGATCGGTTCAGATATAGCTATAGCTCCCATATATACTGTTCATCCGATTTGTTATATTTGTTACCAAATGCTGTAATAAGCACACCGTAACGACGATTTTCAGGGAAATATATCAAATACAGCTCAGAAATATCTTTGCCAAATTTTATGGAGTTCGGTTCAGATTTGGATATAGCTCCCATATATATCTCTATCCGATTTCAAGTTAATTGTGCACCAAATGGGCAATACAAGTCCGAATTTAAAGATACAAATGCTTCGGCATATTCAGTCCTTTGAACTTTAAATTATAATTATAATCATAGCGTGTATGAACTTTTAGTTTTTATGCGGAGCTCTACTAAATTAGAAAAGTGGTGTAGGGTATCATAATGTCGGCCTCGCCCGACTTTAAGACTTTCTTTACTGGTTTCCCATTGCGATGTTTTCAATAGCAACACATTAGTAACTAAAAGTCATGTAATATATACAATTTTTTTTGTCATGCTTACGCTTGATATCATAAACAAAAAAGAAAAAAGTAAATTAAATTAATTATTTACTGCAATTATTGCATCGTTTGTTTAACATGAAAAACATTAACAATGCAAACAAATCAAAATTGTTGATTTGTGCGTGAGCGTGTAAGAGAGTGTCAGATCACAAATCATGCATACCACCATACACACACACATTAATATAAATTAATGTTTACAGTTTAATGGGATGTATCGAACATTCGCCATTTTTTATGTCCGAGTCCACCATAATACGGAGAGTATATTAAGGTTGTCATTCGATATGTCTTTTGTCGATGTCTTTTATTCACCGGAATTGTTTTTTTTAGGTCTGCAGGACTTTCGGTATTGGAAATAGGCTATATAGGTCCACGTTTTGGTAAAGCATGCATATAACCTTTTTGCCAAATATAAAGTCCTTTAGTTGCTTTAGGCACAATTTTAACCCGAATTTGCCGTAAATGTAAGTTTGTGTTCCCAGCATGTAGGAAACATCCCTACATAGAACTGTTCGTATAGGCCCAAATTTTTGTATAGTCCCAATATAACTGTATCATTTTTAATGGTAAATCATAAAGCATGGTCCTATCAAATGTATACAATTTATATAATAAACGAGTAAAGTAAATGACTGACTGACTGACTTAACGAATTACCAATGCCCAGACGAAACGGCTGAAGCTAGAATCTTGTGGGCTAGTTTTATGGTCTGAAAGTGTCAGATAAGTGTCCACCATACTATGGAGGGTATATTAATTTTGTCATTCCGTTTGTAACTCCTCGAAATACTCATGTCAGACCCAACAAAGTATATATATTCTTGATCAGCGTAAAATTCTAAGTCGATTTAGCAATGTCTGTCTGTCTGTTGTAATCACGCTATCTTTCGAACAAATTGAGATAGAAGGCTAAAATTTTGCACACATGTATATTTTGCCAGTATTTTTAAGATTTTAAAAGAATTTTAAACGGATTTCTTTTCTTTTGAAAATTGCCAAATTTGTACCAAATGGTGAAGGGTATTAAAAGTTCGGCCCGGCCGAACTTACAGCTTTTTTACTTGTTAAAAATTCGTACTTGAACGGTGCTAAAATGTACTAAATATGGTACCCTTTGTATTTAACAAACCAGTAGAGCTAGAACCCTTAAATACGGAATAAGGGTCACTGTTAAAGTAAACAAGTAAAAAAACTTCAATACTGTCCACAATTTGGATCAAATTTGGCAATTAAAAAAAAAAACAATGAATAAAATCCGTTAAAAATTCTAAAAAAAAATAAGGAATGTATTCATTATATTAGGGTCTATACGACGACGTGGACCTGCATAGGCAACTTATGTCACAAGCCATTACAATATTCAAAGCATCAATATACCGAATATCAGAAGGTACTATTATATGGAGACTATAACAAAACGTGGATCTGCACAGACAATTTTCTGTCATAGGCTGTACTATCCTTTACGAA